CCTCTCTCCAAACCACTAGATGTTCCATCTTGGAGACTTTTTCAATTATCGACTTCCTTGGACTCACCCTTCCCCCATTTGTCTATGAGACATGGAGTGTCTGGTTACCTCGACTCTTGCCTCTCCTACATTTCCTGCACAAGAGGTTCTATCTCCATCAGTGTAGGTGGAAATATACTAGAGATACTTGAGTCCTTTTGCTAGAGAACTGAAAAGTATAATTCACTAATGTAGGTAGAAATGTACTGAAACTGTTAATTAATATGACATATTGCTAGTGAACTGACAAATATAGTCCATCAGAATAACTAGAAACACACCATAATAGCTAAATACTGTGTCTTTCAGATATCAGCAAATTTCCAGTAAGACTTTGCAGTGGTAACTGAATTAAAAGACCTAAATAAATGCACACTGCAGATCATGCACACACTTCAGTATATGAAATATTTTGGTTGAAAAACTGTTGGTCATGATTGAGAACAAGACCATGATGCTGCATGTTATTTGACAGACACTTTGCCTTAGTTAGTCCATTATCTTTAGAAACATGTCCAAGTTCTATCATTGAATCTTGACTGGGTCTAATTGAGTCTGTCTGGAGAAAGCATGGAAGGTATAATTAACTCTGAATCATATTGGAGTTTGGTTGATGCTTAGCTCAATGGGAAAACGGGGTCATTTAAAATAGAGCTGGCTATACACATAGTCATTAATAGTTTCTCACTGTTTTATCAAGATATTCTCAATTGTACAAAGAATAATCTACAAATTGTCCAACCATTTTATAACAAGAAGGACCATGGTAAGGAAGATACATTGCAGTTGCAGTTACTGATAAGGCTACACAACCATAACACTGTCCATATAGCACTAAAAAAACACTTTTTTTGCAGCTGAGAGATATTCAAAACCAGGAAATAATCCAATGCCTCATTGCTTTCTTGCCTAAGTAGTGGTTACGAGTATGGTAAATTGCACTAAATGCACTTTTCCCATACTGATGATCATGTCTTGTACATTATGGCATAGTAAATAAGCATAAGGTCTGATAGTGTAAAATTCATACGAGTTAGATAGGGAGTTAGATTTGTATTTCCCATTCCATTAAAACTTGGGAAGTCTAGTCTTTGTCAACTTGATAAAACAGCGTATAAAATATAGAAATCTAAACTTTGGTGATATTCTCAGGTTAACTGATTTCCTCAAAGAGTGTTAGATTGGTCTACTTTATAACAGAAGGATTGGCATGATAAATCATGATGTAAATCTGAATTTCAATAATCTTACTGAGTTCTATCAAAGAAATAATCAGACTGGACAGCATGTGTTTCACAAGCTTTAAACTATTTTTATTTAACTCACTGGAAAAGCAAACTGTGTGCACTTATTTTCTGGATGCTGGGTTGTCACCTGCTACTGGACTTGTAACAGATTTTTTTCCTGTCAACCGACTCATTTGAAGTTCTAAGTAGTAATGTCTACATGGAACATTTCTTTATCTATAGCAACTAGTGCTAACACATGACTGGTCTTTCTCATTCAACATAGGGAAGGCTGTAACCTTTATATATAATCTGCTTTACCAGTGAAGAATACTGCTGCTATTGTCCTTCTTGTGTAATGTGTAGTGTTACAGCTGTGTGCTGAGCAGATATTTCTAGAGAACAAAGCTTAATAGGTTTCTGGACTACACATTTATGCAAAAGTTGCATTGACTTGGAATAAATGGGAAATTTTAAAATTTATATTTGTATAAGATGGTAGAAAAAAGCATGGTATTCGTGCATGCCACACCTGTTAACTTTGAAAATATTAAACAGTTTCAGTTGATAATGCATACTGGAACATGGTAGGCTTTTGTTTTAGTACTTGAATTATGAGCTTCTTGTATTACTCTGCACATAACATTGATACCTGACTTGGACTGGGTTCTCAGCTAAAGTGGCATTCCTCTCCAGTTTACTTCTTCGAATATTTTAGATGTTACTTTATGCTTTTTTCATGCTCTTCTAGTTCTCCATACAGGGGGAATGACTTTCATTAAACCTGAAACTGTCAGGTATCACATACACATGATGGTTATTGTCATTGGGAAATTAGTAACACTATACAATTTATGCACTTTTTAAACATTTTGGTGAATGGAAATTTTATTTTAGGAATTTCTCCACTTCAGAGTGATTGATGTAACTCCTGCCTCCTCCCACTACACAAATCTAGTGGGAGTGATCACATTCCCTTGTTCCTTTGCCACTGCTTCTACATGAAATGTTTAATTGCTCAGGAAATAATGAATTTTGCTAGTTTAAAATTATTCAAACTGGAATATAAGCATGTTTAATGAAGAAAATCAGCCAATATCAGGTAAAAATTCATTTCCTCATTGTTTTATCTTATGGCTTTTTCATAAGCTAGAAACCCTACTGAACACAAGCCCAGTCTTAACAGAACAAATAGCTCATATAATTCAAAATAATAACATTATGTATTGTCAGATGTGTGAGCATATTATCAACAATAAGGTAACAATAATAAATGTATGATGCATATAAACACACATAAATATTAATTTAAAAGGGAATATAAAAAAATTAGTTATGTAAGTATTCACTTCTAATAAGTATGTGGAGGTAAATTGTAAACGTACTTATAACGTTTCACTTTATCGCTTGTCGTTCCTCTTTCCTCCATAATGTGATAATTTAGTTGTAAGTGCTTTTACAAGTGGTATTGTTCTTAGTCTCTTTCTCTGTTTCAAATAGAATGAAAATGTATATTTTGTGAAATACATAGCTCTGGAAATGAATCTCTGGCTGGAAAAAATTCCATTTTTGGGGAGCGTACTAAACATCATGAAAAACATAATTTGAAATATTCATTTACTGGTAAATGTAATAGCGACTATATAATATTTTTCTGCAATCTGTAATTCTACATGAAAACAACAGACAGATAACTAAGTTCTATGTTTCAAACCAAGTGGTAACTCTTTGTATAAAAAGTTATTTTACGAAACAGACACACACTAGTCAAAGCCCAGGAGAAGTGCTCTGCTTGTTTTTTTCCTGTCATGACTCGAGCTTTCTACTTGTTTCCTTGTCAGCATATGTTCCACATGGACTGTCTTATTGCTGAGGTAAGACATCTGAGTTGTTTGGATTTGAAAAATAGTGGGAACCAAAAATAAGATATATGTTTGTTAATACTATTTTAAACTAAATGTAACTCCATATCTAAAAAAACATTTTATGTCAAATGCAAAAAATTTTAAATATGCATTTTCGTTCTGTGTATAACTTTTTAGTCATTAGTTTTGTGTAACACTACATGCATTAAATTTCTATATGTACCATAAAATTAGTTTCATTATTGAACAATATACAATAGAATATTATTTTAATACAGTCCAGACTCGCATACCGGTCAATGTGATATAGTGGTCAACCCTTAATTACAGCCATTTTGGCTCAGTCCCAAATATTTCCTTCTATTTTATGTTTGTAAAACATCCACTATTATGGGCACTTGGTTTGTGGTCACCTGTTTCCCAGGCCCAAGCGGTCTCTTTGAACTCAGTATTGCCGCTGTCCAATTGAGACCTGTCAATCAAAGTGAGGCCACTACCGTACATCGACTGATAGTGGCCACATCTTGTAGGTGTTACAAACCAGGTGACCATTGATATTCCCAATTAATGGCATGCTAATCCTACCTGATGCTTCACACCTCATTCTGCACTAATGATCATACAATCACACATACACGATTAAACAGACAGTATGTTTTCACACTCCTTTAAACTTTGTCATTTGTAACATTTCTACTTCGATGTCTCTTTGTTCTTCTTGTGAACAAAAGGTTTGTTCAAAGAGAAAATTCACACATTAATTTCAAGTTTTGCCAGCTTTCCCTCCATTTTGCAATAAATAGAGCTCTGCTTTCTCAGCCAAATCAATTGTCTCTGATGGAAATGGCAGAAAGTTGAGTATCATTACCACCAGGTGTCACCACATAAACAACAGCACCATGCCTTGGACTCTGATACTGTGTGGTGCAAGGGAAAGTCGTGAAGCTCCTCATCGTCCTAAATTTTGCATTTATCTGTTAATCCAAAATACAGTAAAGAATTTTAATTTTTAGACAAAATGCAAAAATAGGTATGTAAAGATATTATTAGAACATTCTGTATCAAACATGAACATAGAAAGGTGAGTATTATGGGCAAGTTGTAGGGGGTATGCACTGTGCCTTTGAGGCCTCAGTCTGATCCCAGAGTTGACCCCATACAATGACACTCAGTAATACAGCCACCCTGCTATGCAGCCATTAATTGCTTAGACTCACAGCTGACCGGATAAACGTGGTTGGACTGTAGTTGTAATAAAAAAATTTTAATGCTGGAATTTTAATTTGGTTGGAATAAAGGGAATTACAATTTCAAAAATAATGGCATTGTCAATACTTGCCAAGTTAAAGAAGATCTTTGTTCATTGATCAACAGGCTTTTTTAATTTAAATAATTTTTATCTCATTCTGTCACTACAATAATTCTAAAGGTTTTGATTTAAATATCTGGCAATGTTCAAAGTTGAATCTGGATTTATAATTGTGTTTCTGGACTAAAACTGAGACATATAGTGGTTTTCCTGTTGGTAAACAGGTCAAGCATTTGTTTTGAAAATTACAAGCATTACTAATACCTTTTCTTTTGAAACTGTAACTTAATTTATTTCAATCAGATTTAACTTAATTGTAATTAAAGATTTTTTAAAGTTTACTTTCAACAATAAGTCACTTTAATCTATAGGTTATAACTCATTTAATAACTAACAAGAGACACAGAGTTGAAGAAATTCAACGCCAACTTGTAGCTATGACAGGACGAGATGATGCAGCCTCTTTATCTTCAGTTTCAGGAATTCCAGGAGTTAGTACTAAAGAAAGACTGAAAGTAAGTGTGACTAATAAGAGATTTAACTATGATAAAAGAAGTGAAAGTATTTTGAATATAACACATCCAGAAGTCTTAGAAGATGAAAATATGTTTGGGGTGTGAAGTTATTGATTATTTTAATTAATAATTTTTTTTATTTGCAGATGGAATTAGATGATCTGATTGCCTCTGAATGTCTTTATTGTGGGGATATCATGATTAGGCAAGTATTGAATATAACACTTTGATTATATTTCTTTTCAAGTGTTCAGTATATGTCCACAGTACTTTCATTATTGTACTGCTTAGTCATATTTAATAAATTTACCAAGTAGTTAATATAAAGTTATTTTTCAAAGTTATTGTTTTATAGGTTTATAAAGGGGTATTGATACAGTGGATGGCACATTACACACATGAGCTTACTGATTGAAATCTAATACTGGGATGAAATATAACATTAGCTTGTCTGAATCAATAACGTTTTTAATCATTGTAAATTCATTTGAAATAGTTTTAAGAAACGTAATTCATCCTATTATGTTAAGCCATATTAACTGTATAGAAATACTAATTCTTTAAATAAAATACAAAACTTCTAATATAGCCTCATGTTTTGCCTCTTGCCACATACAAAGAAACAGACCTAATTTTTTACATCCTCCTGTCCTGTCCCTAGTGGCTCAGTGGTAAATCTGAAGGCTTATAATACTTAAAACTGGGTTTCTATACCCACGATGGGCACAGATTGCCCATTGTTTAACTTTGTGCTTAACAACAAAAAAACAAATACAACCATTTTATAACTCTTTCCATGTATTGTGCATCCTTTATTTCCTATGGGCAATATAACTACACGTTTTAACATGATTACTGCCCCTGTCAACATATTCACAGGCTAATCATATTTCTACCTATACCTGCCCTTATTTGGAACATACAATACCACATATGGACACCTTTTCTTCTTGACACCTTATGCATACTTTATTTCTCTTTGTTCTCATGGTGTGAGAAGTAATGAAATTACATTTCGTTGTTGCTTGTTTTCATTCTGTACTGGTTGTAATTCTTTGTTTTTTATGTTTTCTTCAGTTATGCATTCAGATTCACTAATGTAAAAACTGCATGTCTTCTTCTGTATGTGATGCTTATGATGTTACTTTTTCTCAGTGTTCAGGTGTCACTGGGCTTTTTGATGTAGCTTTATCTTCCTTGGATATTTTCACAAGTCATTAGTCAGTTGTTCTTGGTGATGGATCTCATGGTTATTTGCCCAGGGTTGATACTGGTTCTGAGGAGGGTAGTGGTACTTAAAATGTTGGACCCTCACAATACTGAAGACAGTTCATAGCTGGATTTTCCTTCTTTGGATCCAGCAATGAGGGCTTTATTTCTTTATAACCTATTGACGTTTAGGTCAATATAGTTTTGCCACCCAAGGTTTGCTGTCAGATCTTTTTCAACAGGTTTTAGAAGATTTCACGGAATCTTTATCTTGTTGGCCTGCCTCTATCAGTTTCATTGTCTGATAACTGCAGATCTAGTGTATATTCATCTTTCTCAGCCTCAGTTTAGAATTGTAGTGTTTCTAACAGTTTTTTTTCTGTTTTTCTATTAATATTTTCTCATTTTTGCCTGCATTTATCACCATCATTCTTCTTTGCATCTTTAGATGATGGTGTTACATCCACATGTTGCTGGCATACTTCCTGATTGTTTGTCTTTGTTGTTGAAGTGTCTTTCTGCAACTTTGTCTTCCTTATCTTATAATTTATAGGATGCTTGGGCCAGGAAAATCATCATTATAAAGTGTTCTTTACTTTCTATGTATGTATGTGAATTGTGGTATGGTTCTGTGTTTTGTAGACTTTATTTCTGCTGATGTTCCTAGTCAAATAAAATTTCACATAACTGCTTCTCATTAGTGTGTTTCTGCCATGAGCCTCAAAGGGTTCTGCATTATTTGGTTAGTTTCATCACCACCTGTTTGTGATCTCTAATTTTTTTTTTTCTTTGATTTTGTGTCTTCTAGTATGAGCTTCTTGTGTCCACATTTGATCTTTTCCATCCCAAGATGTAGCTATGAATTGCTACTTGGAAATCATCAAAGCGTCCAGTCTCCTGTCCATGAATTGTTTTTCCACGTTTCAGAAAAAAGATTCCCCTAGGGATTCCACAGTGTAAGATTTATTGTCTCCACTAGACATTAGTCACACCTTTTTGGAACATAATTTTCCATTTCACTTGGTTTTATGCACAAGATTGATTCATTGGACCAAGCCCATGTTGGAGAATTCATCTTTACTATAATTCTGTATTTCCTTAGTATATCTTCACAAAATTTATTAAGCTTTTAGTAAACATTACAAGTGTGCTGTACACAGAAAATCACAAATTTTAATAAAATATTTCTTTATCGTAGATTTGCCTTTGAATTTACTTTAGTCAGTCTGACTCAAACTCTGACTAGTCTGAGAGGAAGGTGATTTTCATGTTAAGAATAAAAATAGTTTTTTTCATCTCACAATTTTCAAATTTCATTTGCATAACCTCTAGATCCTTTTTAATAAATATCTAAAGTTTTTTCAGTAATGTTTGTTAATATTGTTTTTGCAATAAAAATTTTGTATTAGCTTGGATACAAACTGCTTTGTCACTGGCTGAAACATAAGGAATATACTGAAAAAATATACTATGTATATACATATATATATGTGTGTGTGTGTATTCAAAGAGCCACCAGGTCTGGATTGTTTTGTTTTTTTATTATTATTCTGTTATTTGGTACATTTGTAGTACTTTCACTGCTGTTAGGCTGCTCTTCAGCCAAAAGGTGTTTATAGTATTAGATGTACAAGAGGTAATCAAAGTCTTGCACTCTTTTAAAATTAACATGTAACCCTGGGATATATATAGTAAAAACTGGTAATACTTGTAACTGATTTTGAGCTTTTAGACCAATAATATTTCAAACGGTTCTGGTCATTTGTTTCAACTGTAATTATATTTGAAGGATTTAAATACATAAACAGTGCTATGAACACACACTTTAATCAGTATTACAGAAGTTTTAGGTTGAATAAAAACTACAATAAAATGAAACAATCTTTTAAATGTGAATTTTTTAAAATAAATTATAAGGAAATGTATCTTATAGTTATATTATTCTTTGACCAAATGAGCAAAAATTAGAGTATATTTTAGAATCACGTTTTATTCAGGGGCAGGTTAAGGCAAGGGCTATTGGAGCTGTAGCCCCAGGCCTGGGCTCAAAAAAGGCATATTATGAAACTTATTTGTCGTTAACTTAGTCTTTAGCTGCAATCATAATAGGCCCAGCAGAAAAATTTAACCCTAGATCCATCTCACCTTTAATGTAAACACAGTTAATGGATCAGTTTCATTGATAATGTGTTACTGATTTCTACCTGTGAAACATTAGTACCATAAAATTTGTTAGGTTCTGACTAAATCACCTTTTCTAAAAGTTCATAGAGCAAAAAGAGGTGCTTGCTTCAGTAATAAATATTAGCCACTGGCAGTGATAATCTCAGTTAACAGATGTCGTTATGTAGGATCTTGCATCATTACTCAGTCAGTGCAAAATTGGTCACCTCAATGTTACATAGAGAAAAAAAAAGAAATCCAAGAAAGTCCTTTAGGTGCTGTATAGAATTTATATCAGTATTTGTTCTTGCCAAATCTAAGACTTCTTGTTCAAGGTGGTCTGATGATATGCAAGTACTATGGTTGTGACCCTTTAATAACATAAAAATTGAATATATCTATTCAGCTGTATTGAAGTAAAATTTTCAAACTTTTAGTGTACAATTTCTTTTCTTCGTTAGGTAATGTACATGAAAATGGTGAGCTCAGTTTTAAATTCCATAATCTTTCCATGTTGGATATACAAGACTGTTCAGTTCAAGATTTATTATTTAGTTTATTTAATATTTAATGATTGTTTAGTTTTCATAACAATATTGCTAAAAGTTATTATTTTAAAAATTATAGTTATGACAAGTTTCATTATGTAACGCTATATGAGTTGCACATTGTGTATGTAGTTTAATTGTTGTACTAGGCCTTTGTAATATTGTTGACATCATCTTACTTGAAGCTTGTAAGTTTTTCTCATTATGTGTAATGTTGTTAATAGAGGGCTAGATATTTCTAAATTTTTCTGTCATGTTATAAATATGTGCAGATTCAGAGTGCAAGTAAGTAAGTTAGTGAAAGTAAGACAAAGTTAGTGAGAGATATAGTCAAATAGATCTAGACTGTGTTTGTAAGATTAGCCATAAAATGAAAGTATCACAGCTTGTATTGTAACAACAGAGTAAAGGAGAATAATTTGTCTTGTCAAGGGGTGTTCTAAAGTAATTGAACCCACCTGTATGGATTTTGATGAAAAAAGAGACAATTATTTAAGGTTCTGGATACAACTGTGATAACCAATAGTGTAATGAATTTTTGTACCTAAGTTTGACTTTTTTTGAATATATTATTTTAAAACAAATGGATTGTGTGCTGTTCATTTATTGTTGAAAGTTATTGCCAACAAGTCACAGACACCTACTGTAAAGAACTGCAGCCCTATAAAAAACCTGATATTCCCTAGAGTTTGTAGACATAAACCAAAAAAAATGTTTTAGCACAAGTCAGGCATTTTGATCACGTGCGAAGTTAGAAGCTCTGGCTTTTCCTTTTCTGTCATTAGGGCTTACTTTATATTCTGGGAAGTTCTGATGGATTTAGGTTTGAATATAGTCATAAGCAAATTTATTTGTTAGATTCACTTGATTTTTTTTGTACTGTGAACTAATCAGATCCACTGTGGTGATTTGAATGTCTTAAGACTCCTGTTTCTGTCCAGCCACAAACTTAGTAGTAAATAATTTTATGTACCTTTTCTTGATACTGTTGTTTGGTATTTTATCCATCCTCTAATTCTTTTAGTAAAGTTTGACTCATTCACACACCACATAGTGCCTTTTACTATTGTAGACTTAGTAGGTAATCTGTATTACAGTTCATGATAATCTAGGCATTTTCATGTGGCATTGTCTTATATTACATCAAATTCTGGCTCATATGCACATGTGAAGATTTATACAACTGAGTTCAATACCATTTCAGTATACTTCAAGGTGTAAGTACCACAGTCAGAAGCACAACAAAAGTATGTTTAGTCATACTAAAGCTCCTCCTACACAACAATTTTGTATTGTACTTGTTCACCTCTGACTCAGCAGATATGATCCATTAACCACTGTTGTTAACATCAAATTATATGTCAAGGATATATTGCTAAAACAGGTTTTTCTAACCGTAAAGCAGCTTCATGAGGCCTATTTGTTACCATTTTGTCACTGAAATTCACTTCAATTGCTGTTGTGATCTCTATGAAATGTGGACTGGCAATACATTATGGCCATGCTTTGAAGATAGTAATCACAGTGTATTCAGTAGCTCAATAATTTTCAATTATTTAAGTCGTTCTTCCAAAAAAGATATCTAAAATTGTACAATTAGCCCTATAAATCCCAAAAATAAAAGATATATACTTTTTATGGTCATGTTCATCTAATGATGATGTAAACTTTGACTTGATTGTGGATTGAGCAGGAAATCATTTAGGTGGAATTTATTTTAATATGTAATACAAATTCAGAAAACTACTAGATGTGAAGACATCATCATCTTCACATAGTTGTAACGAATCTGATCTTATCAGTTCAGGAAGGTTCATGGTTGTAAAGTCTATTTGAATATTTCAAGAACTTACGTTTTAGTAGTATATATATATAGTAATGTAAATATATGAATGTGTTGGGCTAAGTATTCTTGTACAGTATGTGTCTGTGACTTGTTGGCGATAAATTTGACAATAAATGAACAGCACACACTTCACTTGTTTTTAAAATAATATATGTATTTGAAACAAGCTAAATGTATATACAAACATTCTTTACACTATTGAGATCATAGTTGTATCTTAAACAGTATGCAGTTCTCTTCTTCTTGTAAAAAGTCCACTTAGTCCAATTCAATTGCTTTAGAATTCAGATGACAAGCCAAACTATTTTTCGCTATTTTTATCGCAGTAGTATCTGTGTATAATTCACTTGCATTGTCTCAGAACTGGGACAAAGGTGACTGGGCAGTCTGTCTCAGCCCACTTTTCACAGGAAAAGGCCTACAAGTATATGCAGGCATGATGTCAGAATATGCCATGGACTATGACAAATTAAAAGTGGCTTTGCTGAAATGATATGAACTTACTGAAGAAGGTTTTTGCTGGAAGTTTAGAGAAGTGAAAGCTGACACTGGAGAAACTGTATTTCAGGTTATGGCACATCTACAACGATATTTCACAAGATGGACTGGCATAGTCAAACAGTTTTTAGGGACTGGCAGACCTATTAGTATGTGAACAGTTCATGATCACGTGTTTAACTGACATGTCACTGTTTCTAAAGAAGAGAGCACCAAAAGATGTGCAGGAGATAATCAAGCTGGCAGAACAGTATATGGAAGCCTATGGAGGGAGTATAACTGACAAGTTCAAAAATATCCAGTTAAATTTGAAACTAGTGATGGCTGACCAGAAGCAAGAGTCTACTAAAGGTGACAGAAGGGAGAAGAAATGCTATGTTTGTTATAAAATTGGGTACATTGCAAAGGATATGTTGATATGTTAGAGTGAGATTAACAGTTTCAGAGAGAGAAGAATAATAATTTGTCTCCTCAAAGGGTGTTCTAAACAAATTGAACCAACCTGTGTTTAACAAAAAGCAGATGATTATTGGAAGTTAAGGATACAACTACGGTAACTCAAGATTTTGGTCGAATCTTTCATATCTCTCCAGGAAAGCATCCATATCATCTTTCTATTCATCAAATTTGGGCAGCTTGGGTCGGCTGGCCCTGACTCCATTGTTATTCTTGGGTCTTTCTTCTTTCTGTTGGGTGAGCTTTGCAATCACAATTTGTGCTCTTATTCTCTATGTTTCTAGTCTCTCCTCTCTCTATTTTTCTTTTTTCTCATTTTATGCTCTTATTCTCTCTATTTGCAGTCTCTTCTCTCTCTCTTTCTTCTTTTTTCTTTCTTAATTTGTGCTCTTATTCTCTCTCTCTATTTCCAGTCTTTCCTTTCTCTCATTTTCTCCTTTCAGTATTTCTTCTTCTCTTCTCTGTTTCTCCTCCTCCCTCTTCCGTTGCCACTCTTCTCTCTCTCTAGTTCTTGTTGTTTAACAAACTCAAAGTTCACTATCTTTTAACCCAAGATGGTCTCCTCTTTCCATCTATATATCAAAATTTGGCATGGTTATATAGCATGATTATAATCTCCATACTATTTGTGCTACTACTACAGTTCTTCATATATAGGCCTACTTATTTACACTGTCATTCACGTTTTCTTCTACTGCCATTTACCATTGCATAATCCTGGCTGTGGCTCGCCAAATGTCAAGAACTTACTTTTTAGTAGTATATATATAGTAATGTAAATATATGGGGGTTGTGTTGAACCAAGGATTCTTCTACAATAGATGTCTGTGACTTGTTGGTGATAATTCGACAATAAATGAACAGCACACACTCCACTTGTTTTTAAAATAATATATGTATTTGAAACAAGTTAAACGAATATACAAAAATTCTTTACACTATGGAGATCACAGTTGTATCTTAAACACTATACAGTTCTCTTCTTGTTGTCAAAAAGACCGCTTAGGCCAATTCAGTTGCTTTAGCCGAACTATTTTTATCATGAGTTACCACACTTGTATCCTGAATGTCTAGTAATTGTCTGCCTTTTGTCCAAGTCTACACAGGAGGGTTGAATTAGTTTAGAACACCCTTTGATGAGACAAATTCTTCTTCTTATCTCTTTCAAACTGTAAATCACACACACTAACATATCAACCATTAGGCCATTCACTCCCACGATGATTAACTTGACGTTTTTTAACTTTTCTCTGACTGAACTTCTCTTTCACGTGACTTTGCTTTTACTCTCCTCTGCTCATCTAGTCGCAGTTATTTATATGTCTACCACTTAGACTTCTTGAAATCTCCATAGTCTTGATGTCAATGAATTGCACACAATGTTCGATAGCCTTGACGTCAGTGAATTACAAACACAAAATTAATTAATTAATAGTGCTACCTACATTAAACAGTCTTTTTTATCTGACAGAATATATTGTTTATTACTAACAGAACTTTATTTTAAAATATCAATAGATATTTTTAAAATGTTTACCATAGACTTCCCTAATATATTTTCAGAAGGATCACTATGTATATTATCCTGAGTAGCACAAATTTATCTCTAAAAATATCTTTGCTGGCAGAAAAGCTTGCAATCATTGGATAGTTCACTTTGTCCATGCTGTACAAAACAGTTAACTGATAGTGTTCACATCTTTTCCACTATAGATGTGGTTATATGAAAAAGATTTACCACCTTTCTTTATATTTCCGCCACTTGAGCAACTCAGCCTCTATATAATCCCATAAGAAAATTTAACCCACCTTTTAGCTAATAACATTACCACAGAGTTATTAGAAAAAAGAAGCCAAAATCTGAAAGATCACCAAAAAGAAATTTGACAAATATTCATATCTAAAGATAGAAGTGGAGATGCTCTCTTTCCAGAGAAAGTATAAAATACTAAATTCTCTTACACCAGGAAACAGAAAATGAACAAACAATTAATGACATAAGTTTTCTTTTTAACTACACTAAGATATAATTTCCCTGGCCATTTAATCTTGTTGTCCCACATCACGTTTTTGTGTGTATTCTGTATTCAGATCATGTCATTTTATACTGATGAGTTTTATATGTTTTTTATATTTCATTAATTTGTAATTTTTTCACTTGTAGAGGCTAAAATAGTGTATCTTGGTTACAAAAGAAATAGGTAAAAAGCTTTCATAAATAGAGAATGGATTAAATGAAGGTCGCAGTATGACTTCCATGAAATTCTTAGTTATATTTACTTATAGTTTATTCAGTGAAGAGGAGAAAAATTAATTTTTAGAAAAGCTAACTTAATTTCACCTGCATTAGATTTAATGGCTTAGTACTACAAAGAAAAAATATTAATTAAAGACAATATAAAACTTTTAAACTGCTGACTGTTATTAGTTTTTACATGTTCAAGGTAGAGAAGTGTTTAAACTTTGAAGTACCAAATTAAGTCCCTATTTAAACATTATTATAGGTCTTTAGTGGATTTTAGTGTATACTTATGAAGGGAATCAATTAAAGAAACTCCATGAACCTACTGAAGAAAGAATTAAACTTTAAACCTTTACTCTCTGGTATTGAGTTTCAATATCCATGTTATTTTTATGCAACATAGTAGGCATTTTGGTTGAATAAAAGTTCAAACTTATTTCACATTAGGTATCTTACAAATGACTAGTAGATTCTTACTTCTTCAATGTTTGAAAAAACGTGTGAATTACAACAAAATTTAAGGATTTTACAGTGGGATGAGCCCTTAACTTGTTTTTAATTGTATGTAATACTGACTTCAATATGTTAGAAAAACGGTTAGATTTATATAAACACATTGTACTACTTTAATTAATAATTATATATTTTATGTATTATTATTACACAGCTAAAAACTAATCACAATTTCCCTACTCTTTGATTGTTAAATATAATCTTTAATTCTCTATTAGTTTAGCTTTTTTAACATTTTACTTTTTGTACTTGTGAATATAACAGCTATTTTAAGGTTAGTCAACAAGGTAAAGATTTTTCAGTGTATTGTATTCCACATTTATGTTCTTCATATTCAGCCTAAAACAAAATTAATCCTAGCAGTTTAGAATTCAGGTTAATATGAAGAAATATTTTATTTTGTTTTGTTTTCATTAGAAATTGTTTCTTATATATGTTTGTTTAACTAAAGTATTTTTCTTTCATGAGTTTAGCTACAGTGATTTTATGCAAACTAGATAAAAGTTCTTATTAATTCTGCTTGTGATAATTTACAGATGGTTGTTTTCTTTTTTAAATCTAGGTCTGTTGATGCTCCCTTCATTGATCCAGAAGAATACACAGAAGCTCTGCAGGGTTGGGAGTAAATTTAACGGAATTGGTTACCTCTACTGTATACAACTATTGAGACATAGCTTCAAAATCAAAATTATAGTATAGAAACTGATAACATGAGATTAACAGTAGAAAGTAAATTTAAATAATTTGCAAGAAGTTGATGTATGGAAAATATAAAACTATTTTAAATACAGTGCAAAACTTTTTTTTCCCTCAAAGGTTTATTAAAGTTATAGTTCACACTCTTTTTATATGATTGCTCTATACTCTTGTTTTATGAGCATTTTCTCAGTACTTTTTTTTGCTAGTTTAAAGTGAAAACATAATAACTGGTGATAATACACAAATAAAAGTAAGAATATTCGCTATACAATAAATAAAACAGATGCTAGAGAACACATGAAAAAGAAATCAAAGCCTGCACATTTTGTTTCATGGTCTTAAAAGGTATCCACAGCAGTATTTAATAACGTTTAATTGTGAATTTTGTCAACTGTATTATGCTATAAATTAATTTCTTCATATTATTGTTATCATCAAATGTACACTGTTTGGGGGAAATACATTGCATTCCATAATTGTGTTAATGGCATGTTAATAGAATATGATGTTTATTGATTGTGATCAATCTATAATAATGTTGCAATAAAAAAATAATAAGTATTGAAATGGAATTGTGCTTGTGTCACTTCATAATCTTAAAATACCCATTTAATAATTTCAGTGATTTAAACAACATAAAATAAAACTGATTCTCTCAAAATGTGGAATCAATTCTCATGATCCACGATGTTAGACATGTTCTTATTTTAGCACCGTTAATATATGCACACATTCTGAACTTTTCTTTATTATAACTATAAAATATAATTTCTCTTAAAAGTATCTTGGTTACACTATCATATTACTTAAAAAATAAGATTCTGTGTTTTTATATAACCACTGAAAATAATTTCACAGAGAAATTATATAAGCGTATCCAATTTAGCCAGCTCCCTAATTAATACTTTTATTCTTATTCTAGAACTTCACACCTGCTTCTAAACTTGCAATAAAAGTAGAACAACTTCTTTATTTGAATTACTATCTTTTGATTCATACAAGTTTTGATTTTTTTTGCTTCTGCATTATACTGTTATAAAATTAATGCCAAGTCTATTCCACGTAATAATAACGAATTAATTTATTTCTAAAGGCCTATGAAAGAAACAGCATGGGCAGCTACAGCAGTATTGTGTTGGAGCAACACTTGAGGGAGTCGGTGTCGATATGCTGTTATTAATCTTAAAACATAAACTCCAGCAAGAAAACTTGTCAACAAATTCATTTCAAGATTCTGCTATTCTAATTTAGTGAGTTAGCATGTTTGTTCACCAATCTAAGATTAGAAAGTCAGGTCTACATTAGTTTTGAAGTTTATCTTAGACGTACAAGTGAACTTGGATGTTGCAAATATTTATTGAACACTAACAGCATAGTTCACACAATTTACTTCAAATCTCTACAGTTTCTTGGCACCCAACTTAATAGAAGCTCTCTCGTATGCTCTTCATTGTCTTCTTAACACACAAGTGTCCAGCTGTTGGAAGATTGTGGAGATGATGGAAGTAAAAACTGTAGCCATTGTTTATTGTCCCTGGTATCTTCCCTCTTGTAGGTGTATTGAACCCTACCATGTTCTTCGGAATGTATGATGTGACTGTTGGCAATGGGGATTTTTGTGCACTATTATTGATTAACTGAATAATTGGTTTCAAACTCGTACCTTTAGCCATTGCATCTGTCAGTTAAGTATTTGATAAACTTAGTTTGTAATTGTTACATGTGAGTGTAACATCTTGGACTATGCTCTTTTGTACCTTAGGTTGGTCATGCTTTTATCCTTTCACAATGTTTACATTATTCATTAATGCGTGGTTTTCAGGATAATGTGTCGGCATTTCTGTGGTTCTGTCCATTGAGATGCATGAGGTTAAAAGTTGTACTCCTGAAGTTCTTGGCGCCATGTTCCTATCTGGCCACTATAATGCTGCATGATCTATCTCGAGCGTAAACTTTCATCCATAAAATAATAATGGAAATAACATAGGGCTCAAACAACACTTAAGTAGCCCTTTCTGGGTTGTACATTATTTCCTTTCTGCAGCATTCATTGCCTTGCTATAGTAGGCAATCACATGTTCTTTCCCATGTTGTATTTATGGTAACACTGCTCCCTCTGCAAAATCACTGGCATCTGTTTCTAAAATAGTGGATCTTGAAGAGTTGGGTGTACTAATAGAGGCTTAGTGATTACTTCTTTCTTCAATTATTGAATGGTTGTTTATAGTCAGCTGTCTAATAAAACTTGTTTGGTTTTCCCATACATACATACCTCTTCTTACTCAAAAGCTTTTCCTGGTCTTCGTCTGCCCTCTAATGCATTAAACATTTTGTATTCTCATCAATGGAAATGGTCAAGCAAGTTGGACATCAGATTTTTGCAGACACATTTTTAGTGCCTCTACCATCTGCTTCTTATTAACACCTACAAATGTCTCTAGTTGTTCTTGTGAGTTTTGACGTCATCTAATTATGGCTAGCAGTTGGAGATGGGCTTGTTCGGCAGATTTACAATTTCTCTTTATATTATTCCCTTGCCTGATAGTTGCTTATCTTAAATATTTTGAGAATATTAATTCTCATCATGGATGAAAGAAGACCTACTCAACTACGACTGATGATGATTTTACATGGATAGTTCAGATGAAATGGCCAAAATATCATGTTTCCTGTATTTGCTATAGATGTCATATCAACCATTTGTTCTTTATTTTTTAGGTACCCAATGTTATTCTGTACATTTTCTTTCCTTGCTTATTGGGGAAGCCAGTTAATAATATGGAATATTTAAAATATATAAACAATAATTCGATTAAAATATCGAGCTTCTGGCTGAAATGGTCAGAAGCATAATAACTTGTTGGTTGAATGTGCCAGTTTATTAGTGGGATCAAATGATCATGAGAATGGCAACAAATTGTCTCTGCACAATGAGACCTGTCCACTTGTAGCTAAAGCTTCTTTTGCTATAGCAACCTCCTGCTTAGTGCCACTATTAACCCATTAGAAGCTCCTGGAAGAGCACCTAAAGAACCCATGTCCAGCAGTGGGACTCCTTACCATGCAACAAGGTAAGGCTCAGCTGGCTCAGATTCAGGATTATAACATAGATGCACATAACCTGTGACACTTGGTCAAGCAACTGTGAGATGTTAGTGAAAAGTAATGTGACTTAGTCAGAGGGTAAGCTATTTTAGCTGTTGTTAGGTTGATAATAACAGGACAAAAGAGCTGTGTGTTGGTCAAGTGAAAATTCATTGAATACTGGGGGAGACAGACATTCACAAGTATTAGGGATATATGTTCTGTGTGTTATATGCATGAACACAAATAAGTCTATAGAAATGTCATTTGACTAAGGTAATAGTTTTAACTCCCTGTTTCAGAACCTACACATTTGGCTAAACTTCTGATTAAAGCACCTTGAATTTTATTATTTAAGATCAAAATCTTTCTGGCTATCTTGTTCTTCACCTAGTGGCTTCATTCTTTTTGCCTGTGCTTAAATCTCTAAGTTTCATAGAAGCAAAATTCAAAGAGAATGTGCTAAGAGCCAGTACACTCAGGACTTATTGTTCACAACCAAACATAGGATTCCAGGAGTTGGCCTGGCTTTTGACATTGTAAGGCCATGTATTAAGATGCATTGCTGATTTCTATTGTCAGGCTGGCCCTGAAGTCTTCAAGGACTTAGCACTCCCTGTTGGCCACAAATTCCCAATCAAATCAAATCTTTATAATCTGCACCTACAATAATGGAAAACCAGTATTCTCCACCAACATCTACATCATTGCATCGAGAGCCACTCTGTTTCCCATTGGTTTGGCATCATTGGTCCAGCTGAACTATTGATCAGTCTGCACAACGTGTTGAACTAAAGTGATAGTGGATTGCATTGGCTCCAGAAATTTGATGGCTAGCCTTTCAGCACCCTCAGTGAAATCCCGCAAGTGTATAGCATCGTTGAGTAATGTGTTTTTATCCATAGACTCCACTGAGATGAAAGCAAGGCCATCTGTTAGAGTGGTTGGAAGGGCATGATACTCTGTAACACTTGTAAAATCATCAAAAAGCAGCTTTCGTTATAATTACTATCTGTGTCTTAGAGTAGCTTGTAGGGTATTGATAATTCAATTAAGAAAATAACTGCTCATAATTGGTTAACTTGAGAAAAGACAAAGCTATAAGATTTAGGAATTTGATGGTAAGTGGCAATCTGAAAGATTGAAAATGTATGGTAAAAAGTTCCAATTGCTTTGAAATATTGTGCCAAAAGTCTTGGTTATAACTTTAATATCCTGATAACAGAAACTTTTTGCCCTACAATTTTTCTTAGGAGCAGAGTGCTAACATTATGGTCATGATCAAGTGCCATGTCTACAAAGTTGTGTGCTACCTATATAAGTTTTGTAACGTACATCACCCTCACAAGAACCTTAAAAATGCTGATATATTATCCCAAAGACCATGTATTAATGTAATGAAAAATATGTGAAAAGAGGAAACCACAGGATAGAAAATACTACCAACCTAAAGTATAGCAAAGTCTAAGACATAGCATTCATAATTGATTATTAGATTCTGGTCCAATACTCAGGCAAAAGATAAGAGTTTAAAACCAAATATTCAGTGACTCAAGAATTTTGCAAACAGTTGCTCCATATAGCCTCCAAATCAAAGTGTATTGGGCACAGTGGGATTCCTTATATTTACAAGATTGCTTATTCCACCAGAAATGAGAAGATACCAGAGGACAAAAACGAATATAGTTAATACTTTCAGAGTATTTATATTCTAAAGCACTTCATCACCTCCAAAACCTTCCAATGGCTAAATACGTGTTCAGAAGAAACTAGAGCGAGTAAGAGAACATTCTACTGGGTTGGGTGCTGGAACTTTACGGAGAATTGGTGTAAAACATATAAATTCTTCTGCAAGTATAAAGGTCCACTATAGAAATAGCATGGACAATTACAACAGTGTTTTGTTGTAGCGACACTGAAGATAGTTGCTATTTATGTGCTTGGTCCTCTTCCACAGAGTAACAGTGGGAATAGATACATCATGGTCGTGATGAATTATTTCACCAAATGACCAAAAGCATATGTTGTTCTTAACCATGAAGCAGAAAATCTTGCAAAGAAACTCGTCAGTGAAGTTGTCTCAAGATTTGGTGTACCAATAGATCTTCACTTGGATAGGGACAAAACTTTGAATCGGATTTGTTTGCAGAAATGTGTCAGAACCTAGGGACAAAAAATACAACTATCTTTCATCCATCTTCTGGTGGCATGATGGAAAGATACACTGTTAAACCAATTATTTATGTGAAGAAACATCGGAAAACGTGGGATAAAGATCTTTCACTGCTACTGATGAGTTACTCTACAGCACTGCATGAAGATACCAGCAACATACCATCATTACTGATGTTTGGTAGAGAACTTAGTGCCATTGATCCCTCTGTATTCTCATCTGAAAAACATCACTCAGAAAAGTCTTATACAGAAAATGCAGAGAGAGATTAAGGATCACTATTGATGATATTCATGGCTTTACCCAAGAT